AATGTCTATTTTTTGTAATTTATGATCGCAATTCCAAATTCCGTGCTAATTAGCACGGAATTTCGTTTAAGGGATAATATCTCAATTTTAATGGTTCGTATAGGACAAATAGTTCGATAGAACGAATAATTGTAATATAACGAATAATTGGAATAGAACGAATAATTGGAATAGAACGAATAATTCGAATAGAACGAATAATTCGAATAGAACGAATAATAATAATTCGAATTAAAATAAGAATATGTATTAAGAATAGAAACTCTATAATTTTTATCCTGCTATGATGTATTTTGTTTTTTGAGCCAATGTATGTTTTTTTGTCATTCTAAGTAATACAGGTGACCCATAAATGTCTATGCCACTGAATTCTGCACTAAAATTCCAGATGTAAAAATGAATATTAAGAGAAATTTTCTTTTAGCCGGCTAAGCTGTTTAAAAATTCCTTAGCAGGCTAACATCACTAATAATCATGTACTTTGACTGGTTCTGAGAGTGTGATTATATAGAGAAGCCTGACTATAGTTAAAGATTCTATTCGATTTGTGAATACAGAGAGTACTCAAGCCTTCATCAACGGTTGTTCAGAGATAGTGACAGTAACAACAACTAGCATATCTCTTGTTTTTCTATATTAATATAATAGATAATTAGTCATTTATACGTTTGCTAACTTTACTCACTGCTAACGGAATTCTTTATTTTAATACAAACTTTTAAACTAATTTATGATAATTATGTCATGGTAGCTTTGCCAAAAGTGTACGATGCTTTCATTCAATGATTCAGATTTAAACTTTACTGATATTCTGAAAGATGGAAATAGCTTCGATCACATTTTAAGCGTTCATTCAGACAATTATAACAGCCCGCCCAGTCAATGAATCTGGAATGGAAATGAAAGTGATAATGTTATGAGCGAGATGAAGAAATTATCAGTCTTTTTATAATAATTTAAATTATTGTGTGATAAACATTAATTAAATTTGCATTATAATTAATTTAATTCGATCTGTTTTGTTACTTTAATTTAACTTAAATTTCGATGAATGTGTTGAATTCTATTTCCTTTTTAATAAAGTCTCCGACCTTATTATGTAAAACTATTATCGTTTATTATAACGTTAACTTTAGTGTATATTATTACTAAGGTTTTTTTATATCTTTTGGCATATTATTTATCAATAATGTGAATGGGCGGATTTTATACAGCCAGCTGTGTACTACAATTGCCGAGCAATACATCTCAAGTGCTTGTTAACGACCTAGTTATTTTCCCTTACTTTAATAATACGTTTAATACCTTTGCGAGTGACTAATGCCACTTTTAAATTTGAATCATATATATTGTTATATGTATATATTAATAAATTCAATATAATAGTATGATTTTCGTCATTCAAATTTAGTTTTCGATAATTGTTCTTTGATTTTTATCCTGGATATTTCTTTTCAAAATTTTGTTAACATGCTGTTTTTTTATCACAGTTACGAATTAGATGCGGATAAATATATTTCATGACCTGGAGTCTGTGTATGTATGTTTGTTCATAGGTTTATTAAGAATTTCAAAGCGTAAAGTCCTTTGATTATCATGATAAACTTAAACCTAAAAAGTCGAATTTCCAGATATTGCAGTATTGTAACGTTACCTGTTTAAATTTCTAGTGATTTATCTTCTTTTATAAGATTTACGTCATAAATTTCCACACATAGATAGGATTTTTCAGTATACATATCCCAGATATCTATTGGGTTGTGTAGTAGTATTCTGCTTGTTATTGCATCCAAATATCTGTATATTATGATTCTTCAGTCATTTGATTCAGATGTTGCATTCTATAATTGCTAATGTTAAATTAGCTATGATGGGCGAAATTGAATTACATATAGGTAGTCCTTTTATTTGTAAAAATGTTTCGTATTTATATTCAACGAAACTTGTAAGAATCTTTTTATAAAATCCCATTTGGGGATTTTTACAATGAATTCACGGTTTGCTGAGGATCTTGTAATAGATGGTACATATCTTTAAGATCCGATGTGAATATAAATGCAATTTCACCTATTAAATGATACATCGGGAGTTATTTTGAAAGTTTCCACTACCCAATTTATATTTGACGAATATGGTCGTAGTTCTTTTTATTTTCATTAATCCGTCCTACGTTTGGGGCGATTAGAGATGGGCAAATGGCATATAGTTGAACACTATACGATACTATACGATACTTTACGTATAGTGCGTATAGTGCGTATAGTAGTGTTGAAATTTGATTGGGTGATTTTCAAATAATAAGAAAAAAAAATAATTTGGCTCTTACGATAAGCATAAATCTTTAATTTATTCAACCTACACTTTTTTAGGTTTTATTTATGAATCATTAATTATATTGAATGAATTAAATATCATAAAAATCAAAACTGCTTTCATTTTTATTTGATTCTTCAATAAAATTTTCATCAGCTTCTTTGATGAAATTTTCAATTATGTTGTAATTTATCTGTACACTACTAGTATTTGAAGTATTAAAATGTTCTCCAAAATAATTTCTTTTGATTTAAATTGTGGCATTTGGACAAAAACGTAAATGTTTTTCACATCTAGATATTGAACTAGAACGTTAATATTAAAATGTTGCCAAATTGCAGCCAAGTTTAAAATATATAAATCATGAGAAGAGTATTAATTAATTTTTATGTGCAATATTACATATATTATTTGGCAATATAAACAGGAATTGATTTACATTTACTACTATATTTTTCTAGAACTATACGCACTATACGTATAGTACTGATCTGCCCATCTCTAGTGGCGATACATCTACTTTTAACTAAATTGATATCAATAGGTTACATGCCTTTGGTATGGTATCGGTATTTAGACTCCATTGGAATATATATTATCCAACCTACATTTCGTCAATATTTTTATATGCATTCCAATATATTTTTCTTTTGAAAAATGGTTTCTTGTTGAATATATGATTTTCTTTGGAATGACTGCATCCGGAAAATATAAAAAAATTTTACACGTGTCAATTGTAAGTTTAATAATAAAAAAGTGTAAAACTTACGTCGGCACTGTAAGATTTACACAATATTACGTCGGCATCGTAAGATTTATGCAAGTTTACGCTAAATTAATTTCCTGATGTGTAAACCGAGGTTTTTATCAGTGAGGCTTACAACCAAGTTATTTTTCAACCAAAATTTAACTTATTTATTATTAAATTTCTCCATCCAGTTACCAGAGGCTTCAATTCATCAATTAAATTATCATTGCTACTCATATCTACTTTCACAGCATCCTCTGAAACATCTGTTTTTGACCAACAATTTTTAATTGTTACTTCTTTCCAAGTATTTGAACAGAATGTGATTGGATATGATGTTTTTAATACTTGAAGAGGAGTTACCAAGGTTGTGATGCATATCATAAACATTAATTCTGATTTTAACAAGCAATTCCTTAGAATGAGCCCGAAAAAAACGGCACCTAGACGTTTCCCCGACGACCGTTTCCCCGACAAATACATCTTGTATTACAATATTTATTTGTTTCCTTGTCATGCCATAGCTGGCTAAGTTTTATCAAACCATTTAAGTCTATTAATCCATTCATTAGGTGACTAAGCTGCTTAAGTCGGTTAGGCCATTTATTAGCCAATTAATATTAAATATAGTTAACAAAATCTTATCGGAGAAATGTCCTGTTGGGGAAATGTCGGGGAAACGTCCTGTCGGGAAACGGTTGTCGGGGAAACGTACCAGACCCGAATAAACATAGGTTAGAACAAATAATTATATTTATTGTTTTAATAGATGAATTAATGATTCCTGCGTCTGCAGGTTATAAAAAAGCAGTCATATCAGGAGAAAGATGATGAAGTGTAATATTTGTTAAAAATAGTATTTCATCAAAAATATGCACTGATGTATTATCATGTAATAACATAATTTTGCTTTTTTTCCATCATTAGATCGTTTAATTTCTTCAAATAAAGGTTCCAAAATGGAAACCTGAAGCCAGGCTTTTGCATTCCAATAACAATAGATTTCTATAATGTCTCTCGGAGTTTGATTTTTATTGATAAATAGATGAGGAAGTTTTACAGTCCTATATTGCATTCATAATTAAGAAAAGAGTTCATCAGGAAAATAAATCTCATGTAAACCTACGTAGGGTTTAAAACTGACCAGCATTATGCGGAAATGTTAACAGAATTACCAAAATATCGACATAATGCTGGCCAATTCTGAACCCTACGTAGGTTTATGTAAGATTTATTTTCCTGATGTTGCCTTTGATTTTGATCATTTAACGCCAGAAAGAGGACCGGTTTATAATGCTTTTGAAGGTTCTAAATGCTCCCAATAAATTGAGTACATTCTATAAAAGATCATTAGTAAATTATAAATGAATTTACCAGTTTCAACATAATTATATAGGATATTATTTCTTTGTTGCTTTATATTATATCTTTGTTGAAAACTTGAAACCAATCCATCAAGGGCCTTAAAATCATCAATTCCAAACAATACAGCAAACCTTTTGCTTTTTTCAAACAATAACAACTCAGCCCATGCGGACAAGTTCCGAAAGGTTACACCTTTATTCCTCAGTTCGTAGGGATAGAGCCTCAGCCTGGGAAAACATATAAGAGGGATATCCCCCTTATCGATCTTATCGATCTTTGAGTATCGGTCGGATAATTCACTCAATATATACGGGCCAAGTGATCAGAGATATATCTGTGCATTTATATTTATCCCTCGCCAGGATAAAACTGTATCCATCCGAACACAGGAATAAAGGTTAGAACTACCCGGAAATCGTCCGCATATGGTGCAACAACTCCCTGTAATTACTCTTTTAGGTAAAAATGTTTAGTTATCAATTCATTTCCAATTCCTGATTTCTGGATACTTTGGCGATCTATCATTTTGTTTATTAACATCTAAAGGATCAATTGTACCAATATATAAATTAAAGTTACGAATATGCCAAAAACGATAGGAGCAAAAAAATTAAAATAATAATTATTATTAAAGTGTACCATGACCCGTGCCCTAGTCCCAATTGAGAGAAAATACCTACTAATAAAACTTCACACGTATTGATGAGACCATAATTAAATATATTCCTTGCTTTACTACATATCCAATTATGTAATTTTTTTAAAGATATCAATTTGGAAATGTAAAAATCATAAAAATTATTGTATAAATTAAGCCGCCTCTTAACAAATCTTCATGGATGTTGGTGATAACAAAAATTCCGCCATTTTTATCTTTTTACACAAAAAATTATTAAATCAACTAAAATAATTATCAAATATCCCTCAAAAATTTACTTACAAAGCAAAATAATGCTAGTTTGTTTTTTATCATTACATTTTGATCATGCCAACAAATCATTTCTATAACTTCTCCGTTAGATTCCATAAACTAAAACACCAAACATTCTTCCGATAAGACTAGGACTTGAACTGTTTTTTACCCAATTACATAAATAATCCTCATGGTATATAGGACTCATTGCAGCAAATTCACACCAGAATAATATTGTTGTTTTCATCATATAAATGTTAAAACTACGAATTACAAAAAAATATATGATTAATCAATCCCAAAAACAGAAGCAACCGGTTTCTTGCATCTTGACTTGTTTTTTTGAATCATTTATTTTAACTTTTTTTTTTTTTGTTTTACAATAAGTGTACTTTTGTCGCCGTCAAATGCATGATTTATTCAAAATTACAATTGGAAAATAAAAATTTATAAAATATACAATAATGACTGACATCTTTTTTATATGATTTCCGAATTAGCGGTTTTTTTTAAAGAAAAAACTTAACCAATAATTAACTCCATTATTGAATCTAATAAATCCATCCTCTCAAAGGAGGTTGTACACTCATAACAAATGGTTCCGAATTTTAATTTCTGCTTGTGTTTCCTGAGTAATTAAAACTCTCTTTCATTCATGCTTGGAAAAAGGAAATGTTTTAGTATTAGTATTACCAAATTTATGTAGTACGAATATAAATAAATAGCTTCAAAATGGCGGTGTTTTTAGAAAGAGTCAAGTTTGGAGCGTTGGCGTACATGTTATATTTTGACATTTTACCATAAAAAATCCATCACGGTTAAACATTTCTCCTTTGATCAATTGAGAAGTTGCAAAGAAATTACGAACAAATTAAATTTCATCATATTGGATAAACAATGCATGCATACAATGTACACTTTATCAATCCATTTATAATTTTATCATTTACAATTTTTTAATATAAGTCTAAATGTTTATTAATTGACGTTTGCATATTTAATAAAATTTAAAAAAATGATAATTAAAAAATTATTCAAAAATAAAATAAATGAAAATGATAGATATTTACATCAACGAACCAAAATATACGGCAAATGTCTAACTTGTAATAATACTAGTCTTTCATGGTGTCAATCATGTGATCCAAAATTATTAACGGAAGGATGGACCAGTGGCAATGAAACAATTGATGAGTTGATTAAAAGTACACAACTTCAAGCAACCGAGTATGCTAACGAACGTTATCTTCAATGGATTCCCTATGATGATTTAACAATTATTGAAAAGATAGGTGAAGGAGCGTTTGCAACTATATACAAAACTACTTGGAAAAATGGTTGGAAATACGCAAGTAATGGAAAAAGGGTTAATAAAGATAGGATTGTGGCATTAAAAAAATTAAAAAATTCACAAAAAAATTCTGATGAATTTCTTAATGAGGTAAATTATTTCACATTATTTTTTTCTACTTTACTATTATCGAGATTGATTTATTTTATTTCCTTTTGTAGTTCAAAAATTATGTCAAGTTTCATAATAAATCAAGCCTGATTTTAATTTATGGAATAACACAAGACCCAATTTCAAAAGAATATATATTTGTAATGGACTATTTAAAAAATGGAAGTCTTCAAAATTATTTATTAAAATTTTTTAAAAATATAAAATGGAATAACAAAATTGAAATCCTTCATGGAATTATTGATGGGTTGAAATTTATTCATATGCATAATTTTGTTCATCGTGACCTTCATAGTGGCAATATTCTTCAACATAAAGGTGCCAAATATAATTATTCATACGTTGCAGATTTAGGATTATCAATCCCAGCAAATCAAACATCAACATCAAATAAAAATGGCATATATGGAGTATTGCCATATGTTGCACCAGAAGTATTAAGAGGAGAACAATACACACAGGCATCAGATATATATAGTTTTGGAGTATTGATGTCCGTAATATCAACCAGCCAACATCCTTTCAGTAACTTGGCACATGGTTTGAATCTTGCAACAAAGATATGCGAAGGTTTAAGACCTGGATTCTCAAATAATACTCCAAAATTCTACATTGAATTAGCATACAGATGCATGGATGCTAATCCAGATAAACGCCCATCTGCTGGAGAGGTTGGAGAAATAGTCGAATTTTGGAATTACTCATTTAACAATGAATTAATAAACAATTTTGGATATGGCTATGAAATTGGACGGCTTAAATATTCTAAAGAAAAAATTGATGAATTAAGATCATATAGGAAGGAATTTTATGAAATGGATAAAAAAAAATTTGATCCTTCAACACTTTCTGCAACAATTCACCCAAATGCTGTTTATACTAGCAGATTATTAAAGTTTGAAAATCTTCCCCGGCCTGTTAATTCCAACAAAGTGACAATCATTAGTAATGATAGTGGTAATTATTAAAATTTTATTTATTAGTTATTAATTAATTAACTTTTTAATCATTTTAAAAATTAATTACATCAATACTATGGTTCTTCTTTTTTAGATCCTCATCAAGTTGATTTAAATGAGCTAGACACTGCTTTATATTTTTCATAAAGTTCATTATTGGAACCGAAAATTTTAAATAACATATGGCACAGTTCACTATTTCATAACAGAATGTCACAAGTACACGAAAAATTTATTTTATGTGTGGAAATAACGCGTACGCGAAATCAAATTTTGAATTTCCTAATTTGTTCTTAATTTGTTTGTTACTACAAAAAAAAATATAATATATACAAAACATCAATATCAATTCAACATCAATTCTATTATACACTTTTTTTTTATATTTTATCAATTATTTTTATTTTTTATTTTATAATTTTCTTCTTTCCTTTTTTTGAAAAATAAACATAAAATAGAAATAGAATTAATAGATTATAGATCAACAATGGGTTTTTTTATCTGTCAAAACTAGAATATTTTGACGGATCAATTGATTGATGAATTAATGGGACATAACAAAAAAGACATAAGCACTGGTAGAAAAAATGTAATTCACAAAGGTTTCACATTGTGAAATAACAATATTTTTTACAAATAATATTTCACTGGTATTTGTAAAACTATTGTGAAAATAGTTGTTGCGAAAGAAGGAGTTGAATACATTTGTGCTTTACTATCGGTGGCTGATCCGGATCATTTAAAAGAACATCCTCACGAACTTGAAGCAGCTTGCCCAAAAGAATTAAAGATTCCAATTCCCAATGATCATTTTTTTAAAGATCCGCACTCTTGGCTCATCATGTTTATTATGGATCCTACTTGGAATTTCTGACAAACAAGCTATTTGTGCACGCGACGGCAAAAGTAATTTTTTTATTTATTATTGGTCATTATTATTGATCGCCATTATCGGGATATTAATCCATTTAATTTATCAATCCCATTATAATAGGTTTCTGCACTTTTAAATTTTCGGGGAATTCAATTGGAACATCAATATTTGTCATTCATTTCCACGTTTAATAGATATTTCGTTTGATCTCGAATTTATCAAACGGCCAACTTATTATTCCAGAAAAATTAACCTGCAATGAATGCATTCAAAAATGATCGGAACAATACATCCATTGGTTCAACATCCTCACGAACTTGAAGCAGCTTGCCCAAAAGAATTAAAGATTCCAATTCCCAATGATCATTTTTTTAAAGATCCGCACTCTTGGCTCATCATGTTTATTATGGATCCTACTTGGAATTTCTGACAAACAAGCTATTTGTGCACGCGACGGCAAAAGTAATTTTTTTATTTATTATTGGTCATTATTATTGATCGCCATTATCGGGATATTAATCCATTTAATTTATCAATCCCATTATAATAGGTTTCTGCACTTTTAAATTTTCGGGGAATTCAATTGGAACATCAATATTTGTCATTCATTTCCACGTTTAATAGATATTTCGTTTGATCTCGAATTTATCAAACGGCCAACTTATTATTCCAGAAAAATTAACCTGCAATGAATGCATTCAAAAATGATCGGAACAATACATCCATTGGTTCATGCTCGCAAGTTCATTCTCAATACTGTAGAGTATGTTGATTTATTTTCTTGCATATTTAGTCTTTACGAATGAATCATGAGAATAAGATCAATAGATTTAATAATTAATTAAATTAGATACACTTGTTATTATTAATATTATTCATCATAGTCCTAATACCAATAAAGAAAGGTTGATCGGACGAATAAATTTGTCAGCATATGACGCGAAGTTTTCTCATTAAATTCTTAATAAAAAAAAAATAATAAAAATTAACATAATAATTATTAGAGAAAAAATGATGCATTACTCTCAATGTTGCGATCCAGAACTCTTAGGTTAGTGAAAACCTGAAACGAAACCGTCTAAAACTATTTAGGGTGATTTAAGTTTAGAGCATCGGGAGAATGATAAAATATTATATCCGCATTTTCTTCCCGGTTTTTGTCAATAATTCACACAGGTTATACATATAGTCAATCCTCGTTCCAACGGATCTACGGGATCTTGCATTTATGCCAAAATTATTAATCGTGTTCAAACAAATTTTATCACGCGAATTTAATTATAATTCGTTGAAACGAGGTTTGATTGTATATTATGGCTTATTTTTTACTGTTTTCTGGACGAGATTGAGCCTGGGTATCTCCCGGAACTGTTTAGAGAATCAAAATAAAAAAGGTTTAAGGTTTCACGGTATTTACTCCCAAATGTAATATTATTAAATTTGTATTCCATATTAATTCTCTCCCACAATCAATATATTTTAAGGGTTGTAAATTTAGCATTCTTCTTGGAACATTAGGAATTTAGTAAGAATTTAACCGAATGAAAGGCCATATAATTAGTTAGGCTTTGCCTGTTCTCTCATAGTTTCTATGTCAGAAGATCCAGTAGTTTTTCTTCTCAACAAAATCCTTTATTTACTAATTATAAATGAGCAATAAATACAAAATGGTAGATTGGAATACGGAAAATCTACGTACTGTCTAAACGTACAACGATTCAGGACAAAATTTACTGCGCCACAATACCAATTTTGTGATACAACGTCTTTAAGTTTTATTGTGATGATGGTGTGGTGTTGATGATGATAATGGTGTTTATGAAAAAAATTTATGGTGTTAATAATGATAATGATAAGTTAATATTGAAAACTTGCAAAATTCATATGTGTAATATTGGCATCTCAACATAGTAAATTTGAAGCTTAATTCTTCATGATATCAACCAATTGAAACCATTGAATTATAGAAAAGATCATTGCTATAATTCTCATGATTTGTTCTTTTTGGTCTTACACTTCCATTTTGGAGGAATAGAGGATTCTACAAAGTTGCAGGACTAGGTGCACAGTGGAGGACAGCAAAAGCTACCAACTATTATTAGTTTACCACCAAGGATG